AACAATATTGCAACTTGGCTATCAATGCTGGTAAATCCATGAGGGCTCCTTCTCCCTGAAACAATCTAGAACTTGCCAAATTCTCAGTCAGACCCTTGTGTATTTTGCCTGCTGTCATGTCCTATGTTTTGACTAAGAGTGAGTTTGTTTTGATTTTGATTCCCATAGTTGTTCCATGGATATATGAAAATGAGATTATTTGTGATGCATAGCAATTTACAGCATCTTCAAGCGTGTTTGGAATCATCATGTTTGGGTGGTGATGTCAAAACCATGTTTTTGGCTTCTGCCAGTGTGATTCCAAACATGAATTTCCAGGTTTCCTTTGTTGCTTCGAATTTGGTGCTTTCAGCTTTGGTACAGAGTTTCCAAGATTTTGGCTGAAGATGCTGCCTGGAAATTTGTGAGGGAGAACAAAATTGACATGGTTACCATCAATCCAGCTACAACAATTGGACCACTCTTGCAACCAACGCTTAACGCTAGTGCTGCTGTAATTTTAAATCTGATAAATGGTAATAAACAATAACCTTTTTTTTTAGTATTCAAAGATCGTTTGAGTTAATTGATCATCTTCAGCAAAAATATTTTCATAGCTGTGGTGAGTGGAAATTTGATAACTAGTTATTTAACCGGTTGAAACAGTGGTCCAAGAGTTCGTAGTTCAGATGAGATTCAAATTAGTCATGATCGAAATAATATAATTTAATCAAAACATATATAAAAGTATTCATAAATAACCCTGAAAATCGTACAATATGTAAATAAAAATACATTAATTAATGAGTAAATAAAACATTTATGTATAAAATCACCTATGATCCAATAAAACAGAGTTATTCAAAGAAAAATATGACAAAACTACACAAGTTACTTGAGTTTTTAACATATTTACTAATTCAACTTACTTTAACTGCATTTTTTGATTCTTGAGAATTAATTATTCGTCTCTTATGAAAGGGACCGGAGAAAGTAGTTTTATCCTTGTTTAATGCAGGTGCACAAACATTTCCAAATAATAGTTTTGGATGGGTCAACGTGAAAGATGTTGCAAATGCCCATATTCAAGCATTTGAAACTTGTTCAGCTAATGGAAGATATGTTTTGGTTGAAAGGGTAGCACACTTCTATGATATTGTACAGATTTTGAGTGAACTATACCCCTTGTTGGAACTTCCTGAAAAGTAAGTTTGATTATATCTATAAGTTTGAAAATGCTTGCCTAATTATATATTCCTCTCTAACCTTATTGCAACATTATTGAAATTTTTTTAACATACTAAAAATAAAATTATTGATCATTTTTCTACTTTAATAGTTGTCTGTTCTCTCTTGCAATATATTATCATGTTAAACTGTAAATGTTGGAGCTTGAAAGAAGATAGGATGTATGGGTGATTACCCTTGTGATGGATTTTGTATCAATCCATCCATATTTTTCAAAAGAAAAAAGAAATTGAAACTATAAAAGAGTTAATGAAACATATGTTCTATAGAAGAGTTATTTAAATTTCCTATATTCCTGTGGCTTAATGATAACAGATTATGATCATAATCTTCAAAAATCATTTGGTAAACCAAGTCACTTGTTCTCACTCTCAATATGCACTTATTTATATTTAATAGGTGTGTAGACCAGAGGCCATTGGAGCCTAAATATCAGGTTTCTAAGGAAAAAGCAAAAACTTTGGGAATTGATTTTATTCCATTGGAAGTGAGCCTCATGGAGACTGTTGAAAGCTTAAAGGATAAGAAATTTGTCAACTTTTGACTTTGTAATCTTTCCTTGTAGAGTAAACATAGATTAACTCAGGCTTGGTTTGATCATTGAGTAATCATTAATAACGAGCAAAACACATTAAACTATTTTATAAAAAGTTATTTAATTGATTTAGATAATCTTACTAGTTTTGACTCAATAAGAATCTGGCATGGAAAGCACTTTATAATTGCAAAAATTTGTTACAAATAATAAATTTAGAAAAAATTTAGGTCAAGTTTCTTATATCTTTTGACCGAAAAAAAGTTTCCTATATCCATTATCTCAAGTTCTCCAATTATACATAGCCATGTGTCTTTTTTTTTTTGTTTCTTATGAATTTATAATTAAATGTCATTAAATGTTGATATTTTAAAAATAGGACAAATGGTCGATTAGAAAATTTAACACAATGGATATAGGAAATTTGATGTTGCTTTGAAACTTTCGTATATACAAAACATGACTAAATTCTTGTCTTAAAATTTTTAATGGAGGATTTTTTTTTTCAATTTCCTTTTCCATTTAACTGCTCAATCAGGAATAGATGATTCAGGTCTTTTAATATGAGTATCTTAGTCAGCTTTATTTAGGAAGAATCCCAAAAAAATATCTTTAAATTTTAAAATTCCAAATCAGTCTTATTTATTACATTTTAATAACAATGAATAAAATTTGAAAAACAAATAACAACATATTTTGGTAGTCATTCCAGATTTAATATTTTAAAATTTTAGAGCTTTTTTGAGTTTTTTTCGTTTATTTATTACTTATTTTGTGCTTGTATTTATTTATTACAAGACTCAGTAGGCTTCATCAACTAAGAAGCCACCTAAGAAAAGGAAGAGGTTTCACGGACAGAAGAAGAAGGGTTTTTTCCCCCTCTCTTTCGCTAAAGGAGAAGAAAGGTTAATCAAAAAAAAGATCCACATACTCAAGTTTCAACAATTTCATACCTAAGAGCTCCCACAAAATTTTTAACAGTTTCAAGAATTGCACAAATACAAAATTCAACATTTTCTCTCTTTTCCTCTGCTATACTAGTAACATAATTTTCTACCCTCTATATCACAACCATTTTCATTTACAAAATTGTTAATAGTGTGAATCAATAAATTCATTACCATTAAGTGTTATATATATATATATATATATATATATATAAATATTTATATAACTATCGTATATGTTTTGATGTCATAGCCACTAACATTTGCAAACGCAGGCAGAAGGGAATAAAATTCCATTGCAGGGAGTCATAAATCTTATGATGAACACAAGTTAATACTACTCCGATACTATATATAAAACCCATTTTGTAGTGTAGTCTGCTCATGCTGTGCTGACCTATCGAGTGGTAAAGAGAAGAGAGTACGAAAGAATAGTATCAAATGGGTCTTATATTTAGGACTGAATGAGTATATTACTTTGACATATCAATTAAAGAGTATAACAACTCAAAAAGAAGGGACAAACAATAACTAAAGAAAGTGAAGAATGAGAAGTAGGATTAGAACATAATCCTTCAAGAAAAGCCAAGAGGACAAGCCGATTCCACCAAATAAATACTACACCCTAATCCATTGTTCCTAGTAAGTGCCAATGCGAGCCCACTTTTCAAATCTTTTGGTCCATTAATCTTTGGGCCATTCATTACATGTTTGTATATTTCAATGGATCTCTTAACAGACTTGACATGTTACAAACCTAACCAAATAAATTCTAGTAATGTTATCCTATTATTAAAAAATTAATACTGACTATTGAAATAGTAATATTAATCATTAATATTTTTAATAATAAAAGATCATATTATTATGATTTTAAACTTTTATAACAAATTAACAGTCAAGAAAATTTTCGGGTGCCTAAAAAATTGAAAACTTCCTAAACAAATTTGTATATTAATACTGCATTTTATACTAATTTGATACTAATACTAAATAAGAAAAATTTAACTGGGGGAAAAAAAGAAGAAGAAAAATTTAACCATTTAGTCATTATTATTTTAACTTATTTACAATTTCTCAACTCAATTCTTTAAATTTCAACTATTTAATTTATTTATTTATATAATTATATCCCTTCTAAAATTATCCAGTACTCATCAAGAATTGACCAAGGTTTGAAATTTTGTTGGAAGAGGTTTCTGTATTTAGTGCCTCACATTGTCTTAAACAGGATTGTGCAATGCCAATGCTTATATTTAAAAAGAAAAGGGAAAATATTGATAACTATTATTAATTGATACTTGTTTAATTTTGTTTTTTCTTTTCCATATTTTTTCATTCCTCTGTTTTTTTTTTTTTAATACGAACTCGATCCTTGGAGCCCACGTAATGAAGCCATCATTTGGTAAAAGCTGACATAGCTGCGTAAATTTATGTGGCGATCGTAAGAGCACACGAAATGAATTCGTCAGTTGTTCTGAAATTTTTTTTTAAAAAAAAAGTAAAGAAATGAGAGGAGGAAGCAAAGCCCAATTTGTCGACCCAATATCAAAATCGAACTGCTTTTTTTCTTTTTTTGACCTCAACTATTTTCTATTGTGCTTTTGTTTTAAATAAACTTGATTTAAATAATGTAGAATTTATGCTTTTATTTTCAATAAAGAAAAATATAGGATGGCAATAAATTTTAATCGATAATAAAAAAAGTTCAAATCTAATCTAGGTGGTTTAAATCTACTGAAAAACAATTCCGATGATGAAAGATTCTCTATTCAAAAGTTCTTCCCCCACCCCCTAATTCTACGAATAAATTAAATTGTCCCAATTTTCGTTTCCTAAAATTTCATAGTTTTGTTGAGAAAAAAAATTAATCTCTATAAATTTTCTAAATAAGAGTACGACTTATGAATAAAATTGTGAAATTTTAAACTATAGTAGTTTCAATTAATTAAATAATAATAATCTTTAAAAAATTGTTATCAAGCTTTAGTCAATAAAGTTTTTTTTTTGCCAACGTCACTAAAGTTAATTATAATGTTTATGACTGCATCATTAAAAAAATTTCATATATCAGGTAGATTAAAATTTTAAGTTCAAACAAAAAAAAAAAGTATTCCCTCACCTTCATCAATTACCATAATCTTGCCTTAAATTTTCAATTTTTTTTGAACAGATAAAATATTCAGGTGAGTTAAATATCCAGAACTAATGCACATCCCAAGGCTCAAAGAACACCTATATCAAATAAAAATTGTAAAAATAAATTTATCATTTAAATGAAATAAAAGTGATTTTTTTGTAATTTAATTTATTTTCTAAAATTTCAAGTTAATTCTTTAATCTTACAAAGTTTGTTTTAAATCATCAAATTATATTGGTAATAATTATTATTATAAAAAGTAAATTTATTATCTTACCATTAAGAGGTTTGTTTGGTATGAGGGAAATAGACGAAGACAGAAGGGAAGAAAAATTTTAATAAGCTCATTTTAAAAAATTGAAAAAATAAGGTTATAAAATTTTGATTAAAAGAAAATGTAAAATAAAAGAGTAACTAAAATTAATCAAAAAATTTTAACCCCATTTTTTAAATTTTTTAAAACAATCTTATTAAAAATTTTCCTCCCTTCTCATTCTCTCCATTTCTCTCATAGCAAACTGATTATAAGTATATTTTGCAAATGTCTAAAATTTGAAAGCGTCACCTCATTTTCTTTCTATACGATACAAATTACCAATTTATGTAGATAAAAATTTAATTAAAAATAATAAATATGTTAAAAAAAGCCTTATTTTTACAGTAAACATATAAAAAAATACATTAAATACTTGGATATTTTCAACATATAACTTAAGGTTAACATAATTTTACATCCTAAAAGAATGACTTCTTATGGTTGTGTTGTCTAAAATTTAAAATTAATGATTTTGGTATTTAAAATTTAATAAAATTTGAAACTACAAGTTTTTATCATTGAAATTCGATTTTGTTTTAGTACGTTTAAAAATTTTTTAGTTTTTAGAACAGTATCTTTCAAGTATCAAAATTAAAATAAAATTATGTTTTAAAAATAAAAATTATTAGTTTAAAATTTTATGAACGGAAATCAAAATAAAATAAGATTTTAAACACTAAAATTACTGGTAAGAAAGAGGGTAGTCCTTAAAAAGGTGGGGTTAAGAATTGTTTATTATCAACAATTGTGAATATTTTATTGGACTCGTTTTGACGCTGACAGTGACGTGGCGGGAGGCACATGCTATATATACGCAAGGCTCCTCCAGTTTTGCCTCACTCCCATAAATAGGAAGGCAGCAGCAGGGCAACCAAGGAGGAAGACAGAAAATGAGCAACAACGCAGGGAAGCTCGTGTGTGTCACCGGTGCTTCTGGTTATATTGCTTCATGGCTGGTCAAGTTCCTTCTCAATCGTGGTTACACTGTCAAGGCCACTGTTCGCGACCCTAGTGAGTGATCGCTTTTTATTTTGTTTCTTTTATCTCTATGAAGTCTCCGGAATTCACTTTCCTTGCTGTGTTCTGTCACTACTTTTGGGATTTAGCATTGCTCAGATATCCGTTTCCATATCTTTTCTTTGTGGTTTTGTGGGAGGGGGAGTTTATATGGTAATTGAAAATTGAAGATTGATCCTTCTGATACGAACCTCTGCGAGAGCTATGTCCCTGCGAGCTCTTATCTCATCTTCCCGTCGTTGGACTCTAGTTTCAGGCCTTGCGATGGTTCATAAAAGATAAAATGGCCTCCAGCCAAGCATATCATCACTAAATTTCCCAGAAATGAATAAACATGGTCCTGTGAAGGGGATTCATGGCTCTGATATTTCCTTTTGCTTTGTACTTTTGCTAGTATTTGTAGTAAATTTGTGGCCGTATCCTTATCTTCACGAAACATATTCCTTTGATAGTGAAAATGAATATATGTGCAATTAGCTAGCAAGGATTAGGTTATGCTCATAAGGATAAAGATTTATTTTACATGGGTTCCCCAAAGATTCCATTTTGCATTATGCTTTCCAAGTTTCAGTGTCGTTGAATTGCGTCAATTTTTCTTGTTCTTTCTTATAATGCTAATTATTAGGATTTTGAATGACAATTTTATTTTGGTTTGTAACTCCCTGCAGATGATCCCAAAAGGTAGACACTTGGTCAAACTTGATGGTGCGAAGGAGAGATTGCACTTGGTTAAAGCAAATCTCCTGGATGGAGGTTCCTTTGACCCTGTTGTTGAGGGGTGTGAGGGGGTCTTTCATACTGCGTCTCCCTTTTATCATGATGTCAAAGATCCACAGGTTCATCGCATCCTTCATTTTGTTGACGGATATTTGAATGTGGTCTATCTATTGCAAAGCATTCTGTTTTTACTGCTTTAATCTGCGTGAACAGGGTTTTAAATATCTAGGAAGGTGAGAGGGAGCGGAGTGGGAGAGCCATTAAGATGAGGTCTTCCTCATCGCAGTTCCAAATGAGCAATCAAAAAGTTATTCTTACCTAGGAACCTGAAGGCCTTATAATAAGAGGACCAGAACATAGTATTTCATTTCCTCCAATAATCAGGCAGTTAATTCTGAACACTGATAAATTGTCATGTTGACATTTGCCAAAATTTTTCCCTTGGCAACTAATAGTATGATCTTGTCGATGTAGTTAAATGAATTCATTGTGTACCCTTGAACTTGAAATTAGGCAATCTTGAGTAAGGGGAACTCTAAGCAATTTATATTAAAACGAATAGAATGCCATGCCTTAGGCAAGTTCTATTCATGACGTATAATTATAATGTTGAAATGCCATAAAATTGAAGAGAAACACAACTGCACTTTCTGCCCTTACCCTCTTCGAATGGAACTATGTATTTTAGATCAAAGAAACGAGTAGGTCTCTCATTTTGAAATGGACTAGTGGCTGGTTTCATTAATAAATTGCTGTCTGGAATGTCTTAATCATGATTCTTGGCTAAGGAAAGTGGTAAACTATGTTGATGTTTTTTGATTACGCGTTTGACATTTTCTATAATTTATCAGTCAAGCACAGAAGCTACCAGTCTTTTTTGGCCTTATTTTCTAGCTCATGACTGTTATCTTTATCATTTCAGGCTGAACTGCTTGATCCGGCAGTGAAGGGAACTCTCAATGTTCTGAAGTCATGTGCTAAATTTCCATCTGTGAAAAGAGTTGTTTTAACTTCTTCCGTTGCTGCAGTTGCATATAACGGAAAGCCAAGAACTCCTGAAGTTGTTGTCGATGAGACATGGTTTTCAGATCCAGACTTTTGTAGGGAAGCTAAGGTATCCACTATATTCCATTGTACTAAATTACTAATGCGGAAGTTATCTGTATAATCCATGCTTGTTAAAATTTCTGATAGTGAATGCTGTATAGGGTTGAGATAGCAATTATCTATCTAATGGGAAAATCGGAATCGCATGATATAATGCATGCTTTAGCATTGTCAATAGTGGCCACCATGGTTGAATGGCATGAAGGTGCAGAGCCTATCTGCCATTAAGGTGGAATGGGTCTACTCTGGCACTATCTTGGAGTCAATGCGGGGAAATTAGTAAATAAAAAGAAAAATCTCCATAACACTCGTTCAATATTGTACCATGCGCTATGAATGCAGGGAAATTTATGAAGGCTCCTCCTCAGTGAAACAATCCCAGACCTTGCCCAAATCCTCAGTCAGATCAATTTCATCTTTTCTGTCATTATTTTCCTATCAACCACCCACAGACATCTCTCTCTCCCCCCCTTCCCTCCTTGTTTCCCCCATTTTTTTCAGCTTCTGAGGGAACGAGAGTGTATTTTGCTTGTTTTCAAGTCCTCTATTTCGACTAAAGTCTCTTAGTTTTGATTTTGATATCAACCAGTGATCCAGTGGCTGCAAATGTGATTATTTGGCAGGCATACTAATTTACAATGTCCTCAAGTTTCTTTCTTTTTCCAATTTTGTGCTCTCAGCTGTGGTACACAGTTTCAAAGACTTTGGCTGAAGATGCTGCTTGGAAATTTGTAAAGGAGAACAACATTGACATGGTTACCATCAATCCAGCAGTGGTGATAGGACCTCTCTTGCAACCAACTCTTAACACTAGTGCTGCTGCAGTTTTGAATATAATAAATGGTACTTTCTTTTTCTATTCATGAAGCATCTGAGTTACATGGTCAACTCCAACTCCATTGTTTTTCAGGGCTTTAGTAAATGAAAAAAGAACCAGCATCGGTGTCACAAGATAGTAAGTGCAGAACAAAGTGTGAAAGTTGCAATATTTTAATCAGTAGCTTAAACTTGTTTTAATGTGCATTGGAATTATAATGCTTAGCATTATGCTAGATGAAAACATTTGCTTTTCCTTTTGTAGCTTTAAACTTTTATAATGTTAGATACTCTTTATCCTCATTGACTTAAATTCTGCATTAAAAGGAATATGGAACCCATGGAGTGGAATTGGCACAAAAATCAGTGACATAATTCTTTTCTATACAAAATGTAAAGTAGACTTTGTCACTTAGGACGTGTTAGACACATGGACCTCAGTTGCTGGTTGAGAACAATGGTTTTATCTTTCAGAGGAACAAAATCATAATCTAAATTTATTTTCCTTCAAAATTTCTTTATTAAGGATCCAATAGTCTGACTTGTTTGTGATTTAACTTTTGTTGTTACTTTGAAAAATATTTGATGACTTTTATGTGTTATATATACTCTATGTTTGGCCCCAGACATGAGTTTTGCATTCCACCTTTTAGGGACTCTTTCCATCCTTGATTTATGCAGGTGCACAGACATTTCCAAATATGACTTTTGGATGGATCAATGTGAAAGATGTTGCAAATGCCCATATTCAAGCATTCGAAATTCCTTCTGCTAGCGGAAGATATTGTTTGGTTGAGAGAGTGGCCCACTACTCAGAGGTTGTGAAGATTTTACGTGAGCTGTACCCCACATTGCAACTTCCTGAAAAGTAAGTTCAATTATTTTTACAAGTTTAAGACTGGATATAGTGTATAGTTTAGTTATATGCCGTTCTCTAATCTGTTTGCGAATCTTTATCTTTTCTAAAATGTTGAAGCATAAATTATCTTTTTCATTTTTCTTTCTCAATGATTGTCTCTACTTTGTTGCGGTTTATTATCACATTAATCAATGGCTGTCTAATCTACCATATTTTGCAGTGAAAGCATCAAACTTTTTTATATTAACCTGAATAAGGGCCAATTTGTTTAAGATTGGAAAAAAGTGATTTTAATTAGGCTAAAAATGAGAAAGTTGTTGGAAGTACAAGGGAGTTTTTGGGAGAATTTAACCTAAACACATGAGGGATCTGTTGGAAATAGCATATTTTGATAAGCTATTCAGAATAGGTTGTAAAAAGGAAAGCTAAAATTGATTTTTTCCCCTAACAAAACCTTCATGATTAGCTTAACTTCTCCCAACAACTCAAGTGTCAAACCTAACTACAATCACTTTTTTTCTTTAATTTTAAACAAACTGGCCCTAAATTTACTTGTGTAAATCCTTGCATGAGTTACCACCATTTACCGTTTATCTTTATCTGTCCCAGGTTAATACTGATTAATGATTAATGTGGTCTGGAGTGTTATACAACGTATAGGTTATCAATTGTGATAAAATTGGTTAGAAGATATAAGAAGCACTTGAATTCTGGACGTGATGTAACCTTTTTATGCGGAAATTTCTTTAATGCGTGAAACATAGGACACATTCCAGTAAGTGACATGTTTCAACTTTCTATTTTAAGGAAAAAAAAATAATGAAGAAAGCAATGCTTTCTACTTTTTTTGGCACTGAAGTTTTTTATGGTACAACATGATCTACAAAGGAAGTTTTTTGTCCCGTCATTTTTTCAGGTTTTCATAAATGCCTAATGTTAAATTTAATACTGGAAATCTAGAATCTATCATGACCGAAAAATCAGCAATTAACTGCTGTGGAATATCTGTGTCGTCTTAGAGCTTGATGTAAATTTAGCTTTGTGTTTCCAGTATTTTGATCATTGTGTATTTTTGGGTCTTGAAGCGAATGATGTGTTTGAATTGGTGGTAATTAAAGACCTGAAATGATGAGTATTTACAACTTGAAATGAATGAATATTTTTGGATCCGGGGGAGGAAAAGGGATGGAAAGCTTCAATTTAAATATAAATTAAAGACTCGACCGTGACTGTCAATCAAATCTTTTAGCAAGGAGTTCTCATAGGCTACTTTTGGATCTTTGCATCTTCCAACATTTGTGATGTATTTTTCATGAATCCATACTTTCAATTGAAAGAAATCTAAAAGGAAATGTTTGATTCCCAAACACATCTAACTTAGAGCAATAGGAGAATTCTTTAACTTTCCTGATATTGTGTTCCTCTCATTTGATCGCAAGAGTTTGATCATATTCCTTCAAAACCATATTCTATTCTATAAACCAAATGGTCCGTATTCTCACTTCATACACATTGATTCTGATTTTTGCTAATCTCATTGCACTTGATAGGTGTGCGGATGATAAGCCGTTCGTGCCGACATACCAGGTTTCTAAAGAAAAGGCTAAAACACTGGGAATTGAATTTGTTCCGTTGGAAGTGAGTCTCAAGGAGACTGCGGAAAGCTTGAAGGAGAAGAAATTTGTCGACTTTTAATTTTGTAATCCCTATTTTAAGAGTAAATGTTGGTTGGTTAGCTCAAGCGTGCTTTGAGTTGTATCTGTGGATTTGAAAAGCTCTGATCTTTTGTAATACAATAAACGGTGCTTTATAGGACACTGAGAGGGGTACAATGCTTGCGTTCGGCAGGAGCTATTTTGAAAGACCTTTGGTTTGTCTGCGTGCTGGTTATAAATCAGTATTTTGAATGTCGGCATTTTTAGGTAAAATTAATCTAACGTTTTTACAGCTTTACCTGATTTTTAATCATGTCCCTGTATTTTTTTAATTAGGTCCTTCTAATTTCATTTAATTTTTAATCAGATTCCTATATATATTTTTTATCTTTTTATCAGGTTTTAGCTTTACATGACTTTAAACCAAGTTCCTGTGCTTTTTTTTCCTTATTTTTTTTTATCAACCACCTAAATCAAAAGGGATTTGATTAAAAATCAGATGAAATTGTAAAAATATTAATAAAAGAAGAAAATATAAGGACCTGTTTACAGTTATGTGAAATTATAAGGATTTGATTAAAAAAAAAATTAGAGAGATTTGGAGATTCATATCTACCTTATTTTTAATACCAGCATGAGCAAATTGAGGCGGAAAATATTTCAAGCAGTGTCTTCTTTTCTTTCTTTCTTTGTCTTTTTTTTTTTAAAAAAAAAGATTAACAAAGGCATCAACAAGGACTAACTACTGACATCTACATTATTAGCGACGTTAACTAATTCCTTCTCTGTCGGAGTTGCACCATGGGGTCCGTTGTCATGGATACTTTCTCATGAAGAATTGGCAAGCCGAGGTTCACTGAGTACGAAATTTAGAAAAATTCGCTGATTTATCGACTCCGGGTGTGATCCTCGTTTCCTAAGAAATACTACTACCTCCAGCGCTTAACACAAAAACTAGTTAATTAATTTGAGTAGATTATAAAAAAATTAGTTAAGTCGAGTATGTCTATTAAATAGGGATTATCTTTCTAACAATACTTTGCCGATCATATGTACCATTTCATAAAATTTTTAAGATGTGCACTTTGTATCAGATGTCCAAGCCTCTCAACCTAACAGAGAAATATGGTGCAAGCGGGTCTCCCTGTCTCACACCCTTGGAGAGAGTAGATTCATTTCCTGTTGCTCCGTTGCAGGGTAATTGCATGTGGGGTATGAAACGCACTGTTCCATCACTTTGGAGATATATTCAGGAATGCTCAGTTCTCTTGGACAATGGATAATGAAGTCCCATCGGGCCCAATCATAGGCCTTTTCAGGTCCATTTTGATAGCGCTTCTTCTTTAAGTTTCTTGTGGTGTGGATAACCTCCTGAGTTAAGAATAAGATGATATTGTCAATGCTTTGTCGCTCCTTCAATACTGCACAACACTCCATAATATGGTGAAATTAGTAAATAGAAAGAAAACCCCATGTCAGTCATATCCACAAAGAAAACTTCAGTAGTGCTGGGAAATCCACAAAGACTCTTCCTCCCTGAAATCATCTCAGACCTTGCCCAAATCCTCCGTCAGATGACTCACATCAGTTGTGTCTTCTTTTCATTTCATTATTTTCATCTTAACAACACACGGACCTCTGTGTATTTTTTCTATTTTTCATTAGAGCGTATTTTTCTTGTCTTGGTGTCCTCTATTTGGACTAAAGTCACTTTCGTTTAAGTTTTGAATCCCAAAGTTGTTCCAGTGGGTGAAAATGTGATTATTTGTCATGCATATGAATTCAAACTTTCCTCAAGTTGCTTGGTGTTTCCAATTTTTAACTTCCGGGTGTGGTACAGGGTTTCCAAGATTTTGGCTGAAGAAGCTGCCTTGAAATTTGCAGAAGAGAATAACATTGACTTGGTTGCAATGAATCCTGCTATGGTGAGATTGGACCTCTCTTGCAACCAATTCTCAACACAAGTGCTGCTGCAATTTTGAATCTAATAAATGGTAACCAATTTATACTCACAAATCATTTGAGTTACCTGTTCATCTTCGGCAAAATGATTTTATGGCTCTGGTCAACAGAAAAAGAATGGGGACTAGTTTCAAAAGATGGAGAGTAGGAAAAGGTAATGGAAGGTTATAATACTCTAAACAAGTTAAACTTGACTTAGTGTGCATTGGAATTGTAATGCTGACCATTCTTCCAGATCAGAATAATTTTCCTTTTTATCTTTATGCTTTAATATTGTCACACACTCTCATCTTATAGGAAATGGGATGGTGACCGCATCTCCAAGCATATGTTTGACGTAAGGACTTAAAATGCTGGTCTTGAACAATGGTTTTATCTTTAGATGAACCAAATTATATCCCTAAAATATTTTTCCTTGTCAAAACTAAGGTGGGGATTCATGCATGTGAAGCCGGATGTATACTATTTGTATTTTATATTGATTTATTTATTGAGGACATAAGCTGTTGATTCAATTTTTTTTGTTATTTCAGGAAGTATTAGCTGCCTACATGCGTATTAAGTATATCGTTTTTAGCCTGAGACAAGAATTTGTGTCAAACCTTTTAGGGACTCTTTCCATCCTTGCTTATTGATACAGGCGCACAGACATTTCCAAATAACACTCTTGGCTGGGTCAATGTGAAAGATGCTGCAAATGCCCATGTTAAAGTATTTGAAACTCCTTCAGCCAGCGGAAGATATTGTTTGGTTGGGAGCGCGGCACACTCCTCAGATGTTGTGAAGATTTTACGTGAGTTGCATCCAACATTGCAGCTTCCTGAAAAGTAAGTTCAATTATTTCCATAATTTTAAGATTTCATATGACATGTAGTTCAGTTATATATCTTTCTCAAATTTGTTTGTAACTTTATCTCTTTTCTGGAATGTCAATGCTTAAATTATCTGTATTTTTCTTTTTTCTTTAATAGCTGTTTCTACTTTATTTAGTACAAATGGTCTCTATGGTGCAACAGAACCCAGAAAGGAAGTTTTTGTTCGGTCATGTTTTGGAATTTGTTAAATAGTACGGAAAGTTAACTGTAATACAAGAACCCCTAGAATCTATCACAACCCAAGGATCTTCATCTGTTTAACTGCAGTGTGCACGTTCCATAATATCCATGGGGCGTCAGAGCTTGGTTTAATTTTCCACCCAAGGCTTCATTTAGTATTTCACTTCAGTCCTTCTATTTAGCCTTCCCAATGAAGGGTTCAACTGTGTTTTTCCTGTAATTGTTCATTATGTATACCTGCAACTTGAAATGATGGGTATGTTTGGATTGAAAGGAAGAATAATGATTGAAAGCTTTTGATGATTTTTCACTAATCATTTCTTGGCTTCTCATTACACTTGATAGGTGTGCGGACGATAAGCCATTCATGCCAAAATTTCAAGTTTCCAATGAAAAAGCAAAAGCATTGGGAATTGAATTTAACCCATTGGATGTGACCCTCAAGGATCAAGGAGACAGTGGAAAGCTTGAAGGAGAAGAAATTTGTCAACTTTTAACTTTTGTGACCTCTCTATGAACTGTAAATGTTGATTAAAGCTCAAGCATGCTCTGGGTTACTATGTATCTTCTTTGGAAGTAGTCACTCTAAGGTCCTTCTAATGTCCTCTGTAATTAAGTTAAATGCTGCTTGAGAAGGCATGGAAAAGGACACAAAAGTTGCATTGAATTGGGCCTGTTTCAAAAGAACTTTCTGTCTGTCAATGCTATGGTTATATTATAATAAAACATTATCGTCCAAACGATGATGATAATGTTAATTGAATGAATGGAGGCCTTGGTTACACGTAGAACCATTGAATCTTGTGATAATTGCAAAACGACAAACTAAATGCTGGAAAAGTGACTGTGGAACTAACTGATCATAATTGAACAGCTTCAATCCCTTTTTTCGTCCACTTCAATCCAAAATTAAGCCACAAAAAAGCAACGACGCAGGAAAAGGGATGGTGGTGTGTGTAACTGGTGCTTCTGGCTTTATTGCTTCATGGCTCGTCAAGCATCTTCTTCTCCGTGGCTACTCTGTCAGAGGCACTGTACGTAATCCAAGTGAGTTTCTCCTCCTTTCAATGTGTGCGTGTGTGTGTGTGTGTGTGTGTGTATTTACACAGGCGCGTATATATATTTGGATTGTTGAGTTGCCAAGCACAACTCTAGGAGTTATAGGACTTATTCGGGTTGGCTTATTGGGTTGGGTTGAGGCCGACTTGTATCTTAACTGTTTTTCCAGGAAAAAAAGAGAACAAGGATAAATAATATAACTTATTGAAAATTTATTAATACTTTTTTCTTGTCTAATGACTCTGCTTTATTTTAAAATCTAGATATGGTTATTGAAGATCGGATACAATGGATCCTACAGGGTATTTATGGAGAGATGAGGATATGAACCTATGGGAGAGCTTTATGTCCCAGCTAGCTAGCTCGTAAGCTTATTTATAAGCTGAAATATCTTTCCACGCCTTTAAATGGCAATTAAAAAAGTGAAACTGAAGCATATTATCATCACCAAACAACTAATAGATAATTAAATAAATAGACTATGACTGGTATATATCATCTATGGCTCTGATATTGCTTTTGACTTTGGACATTGTGGTTCCTTAGTGAAAATTCCGGCCATATCCTTGTCTCTCAACAAAAAAATATACTTCTGATTGTGACAGCTTAATTTGGCTTTTTGTGACTGCCTGCAGATGATCCAAAAAAGATAGACCACTTGCTGAAACTTGATGGCGCCAAGGAGAGATTGCAGCTGATGAAAGCAGATTTGATGGATGAAGGTTCCTTTGATCCTGTTATTGAGGGATGTGTGGGTGTCTTTCATACTGCTTCTCCCTTTATTATTAATGATATCAAAGATCCACAGGTTCTTCCCATTCTGCCTTTGTTGATAGCTTCATATTTGAAGTCAGGCTCCTTATGTTATAAGCACAGATCTAAAGAGAGAGCTCAATATCAAAAAACTAATGTATTGAATGGAACTTATTAATCTCACTACACTTGGGAGTCTTTCTAATGTGAGACTCATAATACCATAATTTTTAGCTCGTGACTGTTACACTCCTCGTTGCAGGATGAACTAATCGATCCAGCGGTCAAAGGGACTCTCAATGTTCTCAAGTCTTGTGCTAAATTTTCATCAGTGAAACGTGTCGTTTTAACTTCCTCCATTGCTACGGTTGCCTATAATAGAAAGCCTAGAACTCCTCAAGTTGTTGTTGATGAGACATGGTTATCAGATCTTGATTTAAGCAGGGAATCTAAGGTATGCTCTTTATTTTATTGTCCTTAAATTACTAATGCAGAAATGAGTAATGTTTGATTTGCCCAGAGGTCATCCAACATTAAGGTATGAGGGCCTTGCTCAGGCGACATCATGGTGTTAATAAAGATGTGACATAGACATCAGATTAGTCAACAGCCTAGAACTTCGAGACTGCCAAAGTCAGATGATGCTGTTAATGAGAATTGTTTCTCTCTCTCCCCCCTCCCTTACTTCTGCAACAAAATGGCAGTTATGGCCTCCATCAATGCTGCATGACAATGTCAATGGTTTTGTACATAGCCAAGTCTGGTCGCATATAAGCTCTCCTTGTCTATATACAAGTAGGAGGTCTCGGATTCAATCCTGTTTATAACCTTAGGACTTTACTGCCTTTCTTATAATGCAAAAGAAAAGCATTCCATGACACTCGCTCAACAATATTGCAACTTGGCTATCAATGCTGGTAAATCCATAAGCGGCTCCTTCCTCCTGAAACAATCTCAGACCTTGCCAAAATTCTCAGTCAGACCCTTGTGTATTTTGCCTGCTGTCATGTCCTATGTTTTGATTAAGAGTGAGTTTGTTTTGATTTTGAAATCCCATACTTGATCCGATGGATATATGCAAATGCGATTATTTGTGATGCATAGCAATTTACAGCATCTTCAAGCGTGTTTGGAATCATCATGTTTGGGTGGTGATGTCAAAACCATGTTTTTGGCTTCTGCTAGTGTGATTCCAAACATGAATTTCCAGGTTTCCTTTGTTGTTTCGAATTTGGTGCTTTCAGCTTTGGTACAGAGTTTCCAAGATTTTGGCTGAAGATGCTGCCCGGAAATTTGTGAGGGAGAACAAAATTGACATGGTTACCATCAATCCAGCTACAACAATTGGACCACTCTTGCAACCAACGCTTAACGCTAGTGCTGCTGTAATTTTAAATATGATAAATGGTAATAAACAATAACCCTTTTTTTTTTTTAGTATTCAAAGATCGTTTAAGTTAATTGATCATCTTCAGCAAAAATATTTTCATAGCTGTGGCTAGTGGAAATTTGATAACTGGTTATTTAACCAGTTGAAACGTTGGTCTAAGAGTTTGTAGTTCAGATGAGATTCAAATTAGTCATGATCGAAATAATATAATTTAATCAAAACATATATAAAAGTATTCATAAATAACCCTGAAAATCGTACAATATGTAAATAAAAATACATTAATTCATGAGTAAATAAAACATTTATGTATAAAACCACCTATGATCCAATGACCCAATAAAACAGAGTTATTCAAAGAAAAATATGACAAAACTACACAAGTTAGTTGAGTTTTTAACATATTTACTAATTCAACTTACTTTAACTGCATTTTTTGATTCTTGAGAATTAATTATTCCTCTCTTATGAAAGGGACCAGAGAAAGTAGCTTTATCCTTGTTTAATGCAGGTGCACAAACATTTCCAAATAATAGTTTTGGATGGGTCAACGTGAAAGATGTTGCAAATGCCCATATTCAAGCATTTGAAACTTGTTCAGCTAATGGAAGATATGTTTTGGTTGAAAGGGTAGCACACTTCTATGATATTGTACAGATTTTGAGTGAACTATACCCCTTGTTGGAACTTCCTGAAAAGTAAGTTTGATTATATCTATAAGTTTGAAAATGCTTACCTAATTATATATTCCTCTCTAACCTTATTGCAACATTATTGAAACTTTTTTAACATACTAAAAATAAAATTATTGACCATTTTTCTACTTTAATAGTTGTCTGTTCTCTCTTGCAATATATTATCATGTTAAACTGAAAATGTTGGAGCTTGGAAGAAGATAGGATGTATGGGTGATCACCCTTGTGATGGATTTTGTATCAATCCATCCATATTTTTCAAAAGAAAAAAGAAATTGAAACTATAGAAGAGTTAATGAAACACATGTTCTATAGAAGAGTTCTTTAAATTTCCTATATTCCTGTGGCTTAATGATAACAGATTATGGTCATAATCTTCAAAAACCATTTGGATAAACCGAGTCACTTGTTCTCACTCTTAATATGCATTTATTTATATCTAATAGGTGTGCAGACCAGAGGCCATTGGAGCCTAAATATCAGGTTTCTAAGGAAAAGGCAAAAGCTTTGGGAATTGATTTTACTCCATTGGAAGTGAGCCTCATGGAGACTGTTGAAAGCTTAAAGGATAAGAAATTTGTCAACTTTTGAATTTGTAATCTTTCCTTGTAGAGTAAACATAGATTAGCTCAAGCTTGGTTTGAGTCTACGCTGTGCTTGGGAAGACTTTGTATTGTACATGAAACCTGCTCTCTGAGTTCTATTCATGAGATACCTCCGACACAGTTTTATAAGATCAAAAAACTTTTAATGTTATTAATTTTTTTACAATATAATGACTTTCCAACTTCCTTTCTATTTAATGCTCCATTCATTTTTTTTTTCATATTAGAAACAACAAATATGTAAAAATTGTAACTTTTTTATCTCAAAAATATCCTTAATTGTAAGAGGAGTATAAGGAAAAGAATAAAAAAATAATTAAAATAAAGAGGATGGTGAAAGAGAGAGAATGTGTGGTAGAGAGAATATTTCATATGACATTAAATATACACATATTAAAATAAGTAATTAACTAAGGACAAAATAGAAAGTAAACAAAAAAGAAATTTTAAACAACTTCTAGATATTTCTTATAAATAGAAAACAAGTCATATGTGATGGTTGTTTCATATAAAAAATGTAATATCTCACATAATTATACTCATATACATGATAAAATACTTCATTTAAAAGTTTATATGTATATCTAGTATTTAAAAGAGGTCATAATTTCAAATATTTTTCTGACAAAACTTAACAAACTAAACCATTAAAGATAGTCATGGCAACAAAAATATAATATAGCATATGCTTGAGGAGAATAGAAGCTTTCACAGCTCACTCTATTGGTGGCTTCCCTTGATTCCTTCTAGATCCTTCACCTAAAAAATGTTAATATAAAAGATGAGATCTAACTTCTTAGTAACTACTAAAATTCTAACCTATATAAGTAAACCATACATGACAAATAAAAATATGATGATATATATATTTGTGTATGACAATAATGGATTTTTACATTCAACTCAATTTCACTTTCAATTCAACAATATACCAATATCATTTTCCAATATATCAAAGAAATAATGTAATATGCAACTTCCCTTATATTACCGACTATCTTTATATTGATGACTAGAGTCATAGGCTAATACATAGTCCAAGAGAAACTAATCATTTTACTGGATTATTTCAAGCTCACCAAAATTGGAGATATATCTGGCCAAAGATATAGAGCTCCAGTTCAGACTATGGCTCCCCTCCTTAGTAAATAAAAATAAAGAGGTGTCACATGTTCCACAATTCTAATAAATTCCCGGTCAAAGAAAAACATGGAAGAAGGGGTCTTGACAAGTGCTATCCACTGTGGATTGATTGATAGCATATCATATGGTAATTTTATATCCATTCAGATCTCCCTCTATCCACAGATAATGTTACATCAGAAGTACATCTTTAGATATATTATTAAAATAAGATAACAGTAAAATTTTTGCATCAATAACTATCAATATATTTAGATATTGATCGTAATTAATAACAATAAATCTTAACAAAATAAAGTAATATATTAAAATATTTATTTGAAAAATCATAATATATACATATATTTCAGTATGATATAATAAAAACTAATAAATTCACAACATAATTATACACAATTCACATATACATGAAAAAATTTTCAGAGTTACCTGTTACTCTTTAACTTACAAATAATCACACAATAATTATCCTAAAATTCTCAAGAATTTACAAAATTACACATAAATATTTCTTAATATATAACAAAACTATTCTAAATTTATTCTAAAATTCTAAGGTTACCTTCTAAAAAATTACAAAAATATATTAACTCTTCCAGACCTAGCTATTTATAATAGATACAATGTTATTTGGAAATAAAAAATTTTTCATATAAAACAATATTTAAAATTAATAACTTAAATAAATATGTATTTATTACCCAAAATGTAAATTATTTTATATTAAAATTCTCAATTTAAAATTTTTTAAGCCTAAAAAATTATTTCATTAATATATCTTTAACTTATTTAAACTGATTAAAACCTTAGTAATACATTAAATAACTCAAATAAATTATTTAACTTAAATTTAATCAGTAAAACATTCTATAGGTCTTAAATAACAAAATTTTCAATTAAAACATTAATTTAAAATTCTCAAAACTATCAATGAACAAATATAAACGGATTAAAATGTATTAATAATATATCTTTAAATTTCTACAGTTATCTATTGTCAAAACTCACTACTTACTCCACATTCAAACTGCAAAATTTTCTCTAAACATTATGATAATATTATCAATATAAAACTCTAAATATATAAGAATATCCATGAAAAAATTTGATAAAAAAAAAGTATATTCGTGTACATAAATAATCCTTAAAACCTGTCATGTACTCTGCAACTCAACTCGCTGGCTCTCTCTTTCTCTACTTCTCTCGCACAAAATGAAAAGAAGACAAAGATTGCAGATATTTAATATTCTTATATTTAATTCCCTTCTTTGATTTTCTTCTCTGCCTATATCTTATCCTATTCTGGAATTGGATTCTCTCCTTCCCTTTTTATGAGATCCAAACTTCACTTCTGAGTCTATCTGAGTATTAAATATATTTTCGCCATTTCACTTCTTAAATTACATTTTACTTCTTATCATTGGCTTCTTTTTTTTTTTTACAAAAATGTTATTGTAGTTTATTTATAATTTTACGTATACTTTTGTTATTATTTTTTCTTTTTCTTATTTAAAATAGTTAACAGATAATTACAAACGTAATAACTAAATTATAATTGAGTCTATCTCCGAACATTGAGGTTGAGCTAATAAAATTGTGATGGTATTTAGTTTTTATGAGATATTATAATGAATGAAACTTTGTTATTTTATTGTAAATTAAGATTAAATTTATTTAAATAATTAAATCATATGTATTTTTTATAGCTTCAAGACCTATTTAAAACACATAGCAAGTTTTTAAATAAGTTTAAAAAATTGTACATAAAATAGAGTTACAGCTTTTTATGCTTATTTAAAAGCCTACATCATAAGTAGGCTTTTGAAAAGGCTTCAAGCTTTATTAAGTCTTTTGAAGGCTCTAAAAAAGCTTAGGAGAAATTACAAATAAAAACTGCCAAATATGTAAAATTGTTATTTGAGACCCTTAATTTGAAAAATAGTAAAAAAGAACCCGATTTTATTTTTGTAAATGTAAAATCGTGATGAAATATTTGAAATACCCCTAAGTCAAATGACAAGTTGACTATGAAAATGAAAAGTTCACTTTAGTGAACGATAACTTCAGTAGATCAAATCACAACTTGGCTGAGGGTATGCCAAATGACAAGTTGACTATGAGAAATAATAAATTCACTTTAGCGAATAACAATTTTAGTAGACCAAATCACAATTTGATTGAGGGGGATTTTAGACATTTCATCATGATTTCATGTTTATAAAAGTAAAACCGGGTCCTTATTTGTTATTTTCTAAATTAAAAGTCCCAAATCACAACTCTATATATTTGGTGGTCTTTATTTGCAATTTCTCCAAAACTTACATGCAATTTTAGGCTTATATTTAGACTTTTGATCTGTGCTATAGGCTCAGACGTAATTAGCTAAAATCTGGCTTACTTTCATTCTTGGGTAAAGGGACTTAATTAACATGTTAAAGTTTGAGCTCAACTTGTTAATATGAAAGTTTGACTTGTAAAGATTAAACTAAAAATCTTTTCCTTGTGCGATGAACAGACTAGAATGTTTGATTAAATTTTGAATTTTAATAAATTGTATTATCGAAGGTAGCTCAAGATTCATTTCTTATAGAAGTGTGATTTTATTTATTTATTTAAATGAGATTTGAATTAAAGATTCGGAAATTAGAAGGAACATATAAAAATTTGAAATTATTATTTATTTCTCTATTTAAGTCCTCAATTGACATACCATTTAATTATGATGCTTTTCATTTAATTTAATATATTCAAATCTCAATTAAGATATTATTCAAATTCAAAATTAATTATTAATTTCTTCATTTAAGCCTCCAATTGAAATTCCATTTAATAATGATGCTCCTCAGTTAATCCAATATACACAAATCACAATCAAAATATTATTCAAATTTTATTAATTGAATATATTCAGATGTCATAATATCATACCCAACCCGTTTTTTAAACAAATTGGTATTATAAGTTTTTAAGAATATAGTTGATTACTTGATGACTTATTAACATTTTTCTTATTTTCTTACTTGGACTTATCAATAATTTTCTCGTTATTTTCCTTTAATATATAAATATTTTTGATAGTCAATATGGTTAATGGATGTGGACTTTAAAGATTCAAATATCATTTTCAATTTGTTAACAAAAGGGCAAAAAAAAAAAAATCACTTTCACTTTCAACTGATAATGCGTGGCTAATAGGCCTCTTATCTTGAAAATGAAAGTGGAGAACTCTTCAGTAAATTATGGTTACATCGTTAGTTAGGCATTTTTAATTCTATAATATATCATTCAATGAGTCAAGTATATAAGCTATCCTTTTCTTGTCTGAAAATAATGCTTCTTTTTTGTTCAAAATTTTTAAAAATTTTTAGTACAAAACTCATAAAAAAACTGTCCAAGAAATTATTATTATTATTATTATTATTATTATTTGGACTGAAAATTATTAACTTTCATACATTTTATATTTCCAACAAAACTACAGATTAAAATTTGCAAAAAAAAATGTAAATTAAATTCTACTGCTATTTCATGGACACACACGAGCAGGGGGATTTAGAATTTTTTATCAATTAACTTGTCTTGTTGTTATATATTTCAGGGTTAAAAGTATGTTCATATTTTGTGATGAAGTGTCATTATATTTGAAAATTCCCTAATTATCATTTTCGATGTAGGAATATTTTTTTTAAAAAAAAAAATCTAAGATAGAGGCTTAAGTGACGTAAACCCTTACTTCATATATGGTTCACTTCTAATATTGAGCCATCTAAAACGACTATGTTGATAACGTGAAATTGAACGAATGGGGCCGTTTCTTTTATGTATCGAATCTTCGTGGTCAAAGTTCACAGCTGCAAAACGACAACCTAAAATGAGTGACGTTATTTTGATATCTCAAGAGCCACGGCGATGAAACGATGCTTTTTTAAAATTTTTTTTATGATTTCTCAAAAAAAAATTCTAAAATTATTGTTTTCTTTAAAAAAAATTCTTAAAAAATAAATACAAAATCATTTTATCACCTTAAAATATTATAACGTTAGTCATTTTATATAGAATCTAATAATCAAAATATAAAAAAAAAATAGATTAACAAAGTAACATTTCAATAGCTGGGGCAATTGCCGCAAACAGTAGAGGACGTCAGAAGTCTCAAACACGTGGAAGACTTAGTGTGTAGTTCGAAAGCGAGGGGGGTGGGGCTAGCATATGAAACCCCCAACCATACAAAGAAACAGCTTCACCATCCAAAATTTAATGACTTTTTTTTGGCCCATCAAAATTTAATGACCTGAACTTGCCTTATTAATTTTATCCCTTCAAAGTTTGTATTATGTGTAGAACTTATGGTATGACGCTTTCAATATGTTTTTATTGAAATAAAAAAAATCTTTAAGTCTCATTAATTCTATCTTATAATTTAATAATGGAACAAAGTACGAATTTATTCTGAAAGTTTATACTTAGGAGTGCTAGGTATTTAGAAATATTTTTTAGTTTAATGTCACCATGAAAGTTTTCAAGTCGTAGTAATATTGTCCTAGCCATTATTTAGGTTAAGTTTGACTATTAGTTGACTAACTATGCTAAGTTGATATATCCACGTATTGTTCATATTATTTTCTTTTCCGAGTTGAGATGTAAATTTACCTCAAAAGCTTTTACTCAAGAACGCTGGGTATCTTAAAGTTCAAATTGGAGCAATATTGCCCCAATTGTTATTCATGTTAAGTGTAACCATTAACTAACCAAATATGCTGAGTTGGTAGGTTTATGTATACTCTTCTAGTTCTATTTATAAGTCACTTCCAACATGTCTCACACAGATCAAAAAACATCTTAAACTTTATTAACTTTCATTTAAAATTCAATAACTTTTTAACTTTATCTCTATTTAATATATATTATGTCTCATGTAAACAAAGTCAACAGAATAATTAATAAAGGGTAAAATTATATACATGCAAAAAAAAAATCTCCCAATGCCTTGTAAATAGGATCAGAAAATATCTTCTCTTATAAGTAGGACTAGAGGAGCAATCCACTTTATTTTTTTTCTAAGTTATCCACTTTATTTTTTGTTCATAATCCTAATGCCACTTCTCCCATACAAAAACAACTCTACATCTATTATTTTGTCATTCACTTTTAGTTTAATATTCTTTATAAGAACAAAAGTATAGTATAAAAATATAGTAAATTTCAATTTTATTCTTATTTGTACTGGGCAAATGTGCAATTTTATATATGATCTTATAATGAAGTTTGTTAACATGTTAAAAAAACAAGGTTTAACACGTTAAGCATTTTTCAGAAACAAATTTAAACAGTAAAGGCTTGATTAGTTAACGCATTAGGTGGAGAGGTTAACACATTAGGGGATGTTTCCACAAAACTGGACTTTGACAGTAAGGCTCATTTCTCCGTTTTTCTGATAAGAAGGATGAAATTCCTGCACAAAAAATACTAAAACTCAAAAGGTTATAATATTTAAGTTCTCAGGTCGTCTCTTCAATCTCTTCAACCAAAACAATCTTTTTACTAATTTTGTTATCATCAAAACAAGTTGATTCAAGCTTTCTCTCTCTTGATGATGATGTGTAAAACCTTATCCTTTAAGTCCTATTTATAAGGAAGAGAGAATATTTTTCTTAATCCTATTTATAAAATACTTCATAAATTTTTAGTATTAATATATTATTTTGTTCTTCATTTGTTATAGTATAGATAGTTATTTTTTGAAAGGTTTATATATTAAATAAGAGTAAACCTAACTTTGTTATATTAGTAAAAAGTTAATATAGTTTAAAATTTTTTTTTTATTTGTGTGAAACATCCTAGAAGTATTTTTATTATATCAAGTTATCAAATTCATAAGTTTGCTTCTCTTAATCTATGCAAATAAATAGGAAGCGACAAAGCATAAAGGGAACAAAAAATGATAGAGGAAGAACACATTTTATTCATCTCAATAGATAGTTATTAATTACACAGCCAAGTCGAAGTGAAACACAACAAAAGTTCATCATAATCCGCAAAAATTACGTAACTTGAATTATGATAACACAGGAAAAACAAAAACAGAATACAACAAACAAATACGGTACACATTTTCTGCATTTTTTCTCACCCGCATTATAAGAAGAAGATGATGATGATTAATTCAACGGAGATTGATAAATATCTCCCGTGAAATTACTTCAAACCATTCAATTCCTTTAGGTTATCCAAGGGGTTGCTTCTGGAGCCTGCAGGCTGATAAGGGCAGATCGTGACGGGCTTCGTCCTTTACTGGGGCCACCCAAAACCACGATGATAACTTTCGTTGAATGAATGGACGCTGTCCTTACACGTTGATCCAATATCGGCGCCGAGCGTGAAATCTCATTGGAAACAACCAATAAGTATATAATAAAAAAAATCACTGAAAATTAGTTAAAATTAATAAATATATAAGATGCATGCTACCTCTTATCGTTAATATAAAAATTTAGTAACTAATTTGTGGATATTAAAAAATTAGTTAAATTTATTATTTATAATATTTAAATGTTGTTTTTTCTAAAATACTCAATCAATCATATGTATTGAAAATACGTTTTATAAATATTAAATATAAAGCATATTGAAATCTTGCGTTAAGAACTGGAAGTGGTACTTTCTTTTGTGAACTATGCCCTTATTATTTGTAAAGAGGATAAGATAAACAATAAATAAAGAGAAAGATGACACAAAAAATTTAATGAGAAGGTGTTGTATTAATCAAAACACTGCGAAAATGCATTAAATGTAAACGCAAAATTTAAAAAAAAAACCATTAAATGTTGAAATAAACTCAACAACCCCTCCCCCCAAAATTTAAAGCTTATAAATAGCAGCGAAGTGACCGAGGACTGGTGTGAAGGAAGGGGAAGTGAGGGCTAGCTGATATAATTATAACTAAGCAGCTTCAACATTCTTTCATTTCATCGGCCACTGTAATCCAAAACGATGGCACAAAGCAACGACGCAGGGAAAGGAATGGTGGTGTGCGTCACTGGTGCTTCTGGCTTTATTGCTTCATGGCTCGTCAAGCTTCTTCTTCTTCGTGGCTACACTGTGAGAGCCACCGTGCGTGATCCAAGTGAGTTATGTATATATTTCAGTTTCATCATTTGGTTGCTCTTGGGAATTTGTAACATTCTGATGATATTGTCTTTAATTACTAATGAAGATGATCCGAGGAAGGTAGAGCATTTGGTGAAACTGGAAGGAGCAAAGGAGAGATTGCATCTGATGAAAGCAGATCTGTTGGAAGAGGGTTCCTTTGATTCTGCTGTTGAAGGCTGTGTCGGTGTCTTCCACACTGCTTCACCTGTGGTTCTTGGTCTCCACGTCGACCCTCAGGTTCATTTCATTCGAATTTAACCAACATTATTACCAATGCATATACCATAGGGACGATTCAAAATTGGGACCCAAGTAATGAAGCAAATTAAGTATTACTCCTCCGGTCGTAAACGTAAAGCTCATTTTATAATATTACAAAATGAGCCGTATATTTAGGATCAGAAGAGTATTAGTGATCATCTCAATTTGGATAATCATTGTTAGATCATAATTCCTCCTGCCCTCTTTTTTTGTAAGAGATGTTCCCTTCTATAAAGGATATTTAGAAGGTGTCTCGAATTTTGTTTGTTGAATTCTCACTTAATGCCTCATATTACTTATATGAACGTATTTAAATATCACGTATTCTCTTTTTCTTCACATAAATGATGGTGTTTTGTATTAAAAAAAATTATATTTTTTTACTTATTTTTTTATTTTTAATTAATTTTAACTAATATTTTGAATAAAAAGAAAGGAGGGGTTAAGAGATTTGATTTAAGAGTTATTTTTTAAAAGGGATGTAAAATTAATTACACCATTAAATGTGCTCTAATGACTAAGTGGCGTTGACTTTGGTCAACGTCACGCCATCAACCGTTGGTTGTTCGATCATTGACTGGCGCTGGAACGGCTGTCATTGAATCATATCGACAAATGGCGTGTGTTTTCTGCCCAAGTTATCCAAACTCATGAATAAAGAATTAACATTAAAATATTAATATTTTAAATATTCTTATGAGAAGCTATTAATAATAAATCAAATTTTTGGTGTGGAATTAGAATTAATTTACTTGCCCGTAATCCTATGGGTAAATTTTTCAGAGTTAATATCATTAGTCCTTAAAATCTTACCTCATTTTAATTTTAGTCCATAAAATTTAAAACTTAATGGTTTTGATGCTTCAAATCTTCTTCTAGAGACTACAACCATTGTTTCGGGGACTAAAAATATTGAGGCGGAGTAAAATGAGATCAAATGTAAAAAACCAAAACCACTGATTTTAAATTTCAGGAACTAAACTAAAATAATGCCAAACTTAAAAATACTTTTGCCTCTATTCATATATCTTACAAAAGCAAATTAAGGGCATGTTAGGAAAATACCCCCTCTGTGTTGGAGGGCCTTAGTCTTCTTTTTTAAAAAAAAGAAAGATATATTTTAGTTTTGTCTAATCATTTAATGAGTTTTTTCCCCCTAATTTTACCCTTACCATATGCATTTTATTTTTTCTTTTGGCTATTGACTGTATATACTGCATTATTTATGAGACATGTACACACTCGCCTCTCATCACCTTTATCCCCATATATTCTCTTTCTTTTTTCTTTTATTGCCTCTTTTACTTATTTTCTTCATTAATAAGGTCATATTTAAAAAAAACATGCCTTACATATTTATTATTTTAAACTGATTTTAACTAATTTCTTAGTAACTGTAAATCGGTTAAACCATGCTTATATTTTAAAATGGAGGGAGTACATATTAGCACGAATCATATGGGATGTTTTTGGGACTTTCCATAAATCATCAGAGGTTTGGCGATTAATAATGATAAGCTTCTAACTAAGAGCCGCTCTTTTTTGAATGTTTCAGAATGATCTTATTGAGCCAGCAGTTAGAGGAACTCTGAATGTTCTTAGATCATGCGCAAAATCAACGTCACTGAAACGACTCGTTTTAACCTCTTCCATATCTGCAGTGATGTGTAATGGAAAGCCTCTAACTTCAGACGTTGTTCTTGATGAATCATGCTTTTCAACTCCGGATGGTTGCGAGCAATTTAGCCCGGTACGTATTATTATTATTATTATTTTTTATTACTGCATTTGATTTAACTAACTAATACCGGTTTCTCTTTGGTCCTTTTTATAAGATGTACCTATATAATTGAATTATATATTTGGATCATTAAAAAGTTGGTTAAACTTGGTTATTAAAGACAATATGCAATAAAGATGCGATTTATTTTTTGAAAATACCCATACTGATATGGAAAGACAAATAGTGAGTGTGGATCAATAGGTAAGGGACAAAAATGAAAAAATGGTACTGAAAAAAAAAATTTCGCACAAGCTATTAGTATTTCTTATAAATAGAAGCAATTCATCCCTCAAGAGAATTCTCTTATGAATAATAAATTCTTTAATTTTTGGGAGTATTGACAAAGGCCAACACCAAGTGAAATAAGGCAAGAGAAAGATAAGGCGGAACCAATATAGAAATTGTTTTGTGTGGTGATTATTCAACATAGTAAATTTGAGAAAGCGAGACTCACGAGCAAATGAGCGATATGCGTCACAAAATTATAAACCACACTGTAAATATATAAATTATAAATATTAAGAATAACATTATTTTTTTATTTTTTAAACTACATTTTACTTCTTATCTTTAGTCTTCTACTTTTATTTTTAAAAAATTTATTGTCGTTTGTTTATAGTTGTATCTATATTTTTGTTACTATTTTTACTCTTTCTTATTTAAGATATTTAATAAATAATTAAAAGCACATTAATTAAATTATAATAGTGTCGATCGCTAAACATTAAACTAGTAATTATTGATTTAAATGGCGCATCTAGTTTTTAATATGTAATGCGATTTTAATTTGTAAGTCTCTTATAATGTCCTTGGAATTTCTTGTTGTTCATAATTTTTGTTCGCAGGAATGGACAGGATATAAACTTTCCAAGACACTGGCAGAAGGAGCTGCTTGGAAATTTGCGAAAGAAAATAACATCGACATGGTTACTATCAATCCAGCAATGGTGATAGGACCTCTCTTGCAACCAACACTTAACGCATCGGTAGAAGCAATTTTAATTCTATTTAATGGTAATTTTATAATTTATCTTTAACTCTATTTAATGCTAATTTTAATTTATCTTTAATCATATTTAATGGTAATTTTAATTTATATCTTTGGCACACTTTTTTCCCATCTGATAATGCTCAACATACAAACGATACAACTAAATTTTTGGTTAAGAGTGTTTTGTGGATGGTTGGTTATCTTCACGTGACCCAAACCTATCAAGTTTTTATTTGACTTTATGCGGCAAATGTCACCATCCTTGTGTCCTTTTCTATGATTGTGTCTATAGATACGCATTTAATTTTGTTTCCAAAAGAAGAATGAGCATGTATCTAAATACGCAAAGGTAGAAAAAACTTTGTTCTATTTACTTATACTTATTATGTCTAATTTTCTTTTAAAATTTTAGTGCGTGAATTTTTTAAAAAATGATAAAAATTCACATAGATAAGCTTTCAAAGTTATGTTAGACAATCATTAATAATAAAATCCACTTATGCAAGATTTGATAGGAAAATTACTTAATAAATTTAAATAAATGGACTTAAATTTTGTTTATGATAATTAAGCATTATTTCCAACGGGACTACTCACACGCCCGCACTTCCCCTTAGCCACATGGGGATTTGATTCCCCAACCTCTTCAATAATAAGAGGGATGGGGTGATATCATTATAAGTCAAGGCTCATTGGTAATGTCCTTAATTAACATTGTTCTTTCTTGTAACTTGTAAGGTCTTCCAAAGTGTTACTTTTTGTTTGGATCGTATCCATTATGTCAGATTTTTCAATTACGTATAATTATGTGTTTTATTTTTTTTTCATATGGGTTTATAATTAAATTACAATATCTTAAAAAAAGGACACTTGGTTAAATGTAATTGATGAATTTGACATAATAAGGAGTCTTTAATGTTCATATATCCTTAATTACTTGATGTAGGTGCAAAGACATTTCCAAATAAAGTTTATGGGTGGGTCCATGTGAAAGATGTTGCCGATGCCCATATCAAAGCATTTGAAATTCCTTCGGCTAATGGAAGATATTGTTTGGCTGAGACAGTGAAACACTACTCTGAAATAGTACAGATTCTACGTGAACTATACCCAATGTTACAATTTCCAGACAAGTAAGTTCAATTATATATTTTATTATTTTTAGTAAGAATGCATATATAAGAAAGACACACACACACATCTTGATTTCTTATTTTCTCCAAACTACGTTAAATTAATTATATGTGTCCGTGTGTCACTTTTCTGCTTTAATGATTACCTATACTATGTAATAGAATATTTCTGCCTTCATTTTTTTAGGTTAATATTATCTTTAGCTTTTAAGATTGATATCATTTTAGTTTTGATCTCTTAAATTTAAAACAAGTAGTTTTGTTCCTCGAGCTTTGATCTCATTTTGATTTCATTTTGTTAAATTTGAAACCAATAGTTTTATCTCTAAAATTTGACCTCATTTTATCTACTTAGAGATTAATTGTTGGTCCCTAGAACAAAGACTAAAACCAAAATGTGGTCAAATTTTAGGGACTAAAACCATTGGTTTCAAATTTCAATAACCAAAACCAAAATCAAATCAAATTTCAAAAATAAAAACTACAAATTTTAAATTTGAGGAATCAAAACTAAAAAAATGTTAGACTTCAGGGACTTAAAATAGTATTAATCCTTCTTTTTATAAACATAATTTAACCAAATCATGCGTGTCAAGGCAGGTAGTTAAAATTAGCTCAAATAAATTATTGAACTTTTTCTTGAAGGTATGTGGTCATCATGATTTGAAAATTGAGGAAATTTAATAGAATGCTATTGGGTGCGATGAGGTCACTTTTTATTCTTTATGCACATCTCTTCCTTTTCTCCCCTTATCTTTTCTGATTTTATTTTTCTTTTAGCTTTCCTAGAGAAAATGTTCGTGGCTGTTTGAACATTCTAGAGAATTCAGTATTTTGATTATTCTATGCAGGAGATTTCATTAAGTTTCTTCATTATGAATTGATCTTAATTCTTCTTCTTCTTCTTCGTATCTTCCCCCCCCCCCCCCGCAAGGAGTATTTGATGTTATTTATCCAAATTAATTTTTTTATTTATGTTGACAATTAATGTCGTCGTCTAATATATCTTTTAATTACTTTTGTTTCTCAAACTTGTTAGGTGTGAGGAACAACCCCTGAAGCCAACATATCGAATTTCTAAGGATAAGGCGAAGACATTAGGAATTAGTGAGTTCATTCCATTTGAAGTGAGTCTAATAGAGACGGTGGAAAGTTTCAAACAAAAGAAAATGGTTGACTTTTAAATTGTGCTATATATATATATATATATATATATATATATATATATATATAGCCAAGTCATAATATATATCTTTGCGGAATAAATGTTGATTACAATAATCATGATTTTGTATGAAAAAACTTGTGTGTTTTGGTTCAAACCAATTTCCATTACAATAATGTAAATATGTTTTGCTTGAGAAGACCTATTATTGTAATATATATCAAGCTTGTATTGAATAAAAATAAACCAAATAGATACTATAAGTGGAAATGATGAATCCCTTAACAGAAGTAGCATAAATAGAATAAAATTAATAATTAGATTGTATTCATATACATCACATGAAATTTAAAAATGAACATATAAACATAGATAAAAATTAAATAATAAAACCAAACAGATCTTTTTATAGCTTATATAAAGTTAGCCACCCGCATCGGATTTGGTCCACGGGCTTCGTTCTTTATTGCACGATGATAACAATAATTGAATGAGTGGGCGTTTACCTACTACGGCGATCCAATGTCGGACTCGAGCGTGGAATCCCATTAAAAACAACCAATAAAAATATGATAAAAAAATCAGTTAAAATTAGATTTTCCTAACACATAGATCCAATGTCGGACTCAAGTGTGGAATCTGATTAAAAACAACCAATAAGAATATAATAAAAAAATCAGCTAAAATTACGTTTTCCTAACACGTAGATCTAATGTTGAACTCGGGTGTGAAATCCCATTAAAAACAACCAATAAGAATATAATAAAAAAATCAGCTAAATTACGTTTTCCTAACACGTAGATCTAATGTCAAACTCGGGCGTAGAATCCCATTAAAAACAACCAATAAGAATATAATAAAAAATCAGCTAAAATTACGTTTTCTTAACACGTAGATCTAATGTCGGACTCGAGCGTAGAATCCCATTAAAAACAACCAATAAGAATATAATAAAAAAATCAGCTAAAATTACGTTTTCTTAACACATAGATCCAATGTCGGACTCGAGCGTAGAATCCCATTAAAAACAACCAATAAGAATATAATAAAAAAAATCAGCTAAAATTACGTTTTCTTAACACGTAGATCCAATGTCAAACTCGAGCGTAGAATCCCATTAAAAACAACCAATAAGAATATAATAAAAAAATCAGTTAAAATTAGTTAAAATTAACAAATTCATAAGGTATCTACCTCTTATCCTTAATATAAAAATTTAGTAACCAATTTGCAAATATTAAAAAAATTATTTAAATTTATTATTTATGATAATTAGATATTATTTTTCTTAAAATATCCAATCAATCATATGTATTGAAAATACACTTTTAGAAACTCCTTCACATATATAATCGCCAATAGAACTTAGGGGCAAAATATATAAATATTAAAGATAAAGTAAATTGAGATCTTATATTAAGAACAAAAAATAGTATTTTCTTTTTAAAAAATATGCCTTTATTATTTGTAAAGAGGTTAAGAGAAACAATAAATAAAGAAAAAGATGGAAAAAATTGTAAACGCAAAATTAAAAAAAAAAAAACTATACATTTGATCTTTTAACTTTGTTCAAAGTTTCAATTTGATTCATTAACTTTAAAAAATATACATTTAGTCTTTTAACCCTAAAATCACTAGACTTTAATAATGATTTTCTTATAACGATAATGAATATCTTGAAAATTAAACTTGATAATATTTTATCAACATTTAACATTTAAGATTTTAATGTCATCATTTTTTGAAAAAAATTTTAAGATAAAAGACTAAAAACATACTTTTTAAAGTTAAGGGATCAAATTGAAACCCCATATAAAGTTGAAGGAACAAATACATTCTTTAGCTAAACAAAACCATTAAATGTTGAAATAAACTCAAAAACCCCTTCCCAAAATCTAAAGCTTATAAATAACAGTGAAGCGATCGAGGAATGGTGTGAAGCAAGAGGAAGTGAGGGCTAGCTGATATAATCATAATTAAGCAGCCTCGATATTCTTTCATTTCATCAGCCACTTTAATCCAAAACGATGGCACAAAGCAGCGACGCAGGGAAAGGGATGGTGGTGTGCGTCACTGGTGCTTCTGGCTATATAGCTTCATGGCTCGTCAAGCTTCTTCTTCTTCGTGGCTACACTGTGAGAGCCACCGTGCGTAATCCAAGTGAGTTATGTATATATTTCAGTTTCATCATTTGGTTGTTCTTTGGATGGGAATTTGTAATATTCTGATGATATTGTCTTTAATTACTAATGAAGATGATCCGAGGAAGGTAGAGCATTTGGTGAAACTGGAAGGAGCAAAGGAGAGATTGCAGCTGATGAAAGCAGATCTGTTGGAAGAAGGTTCCTTTGATGCTGCTGTCGAAGGCTGTGTCGGTGTCTTCCACACTGCTTCTCCTGTGGTTTATAGTGTCGACGTCGACCCTCAGGTTCATTTCATTCAAATTTAACCACCACTAACAATTATGGAAACAGACCAAATCAGGCCTAACCCTTAACAGCTTAGGCCGATGGTGAGGCCTATTGGCCTGCGGCATGTGAAAGGTTTTTTTTTCTCCTAGGCCTGGCCTGTAATTAAACCTGGCTTGGTCTGTAGCTTGTAATCAAAATTGAGACCCAAGTAATGAAGCAAATTAAGTACTATCCTTCTGGTCCTAAATACAAGATCCATGTCATTCTTTTGGTCTTTAATATATGACCTTATTGTTGAGTTAATTTTGATTTTAAATATAAGATATATTTCTCATATTTATAAGTTTTTCCTAAACTACCCTATGAATCTCCCTCAACCATAATCAAGTAGAAGAGGAAAAGAGGATATTAAGGAAAATGATTATGGTATTTTAGGAAAAATATGTCACATTTCTTACAATTAACTAACTTACCTAACTTCTTTAATTTCATCAAATTAGTTAAATAGGTCTTATATTAGAGACCAGAAGAGTATAGCACAACTATATTTGGGATCAAGGGAGTATTGCTGATCATCTCACTTTGGATAATCTTTGTTAGATATTAATTACTCCCTCCCTCCCTTTTTGTAAGAGATGTTCCCTTTTACAAGGGATATTTAGAGGGTGTCTCGAATTTTGCTTGTTAATTTCTTATATCAATGTATTTCATTCTCACATATTCTTTTTTTTCCCATAAGTGAGAATTTTTTTAATTAAAACAATTATATATTTTTACATTTTTATTTTTAATTAAATTTAACTAATGCTTCACGTAGTTTGGCCAATTGTTTTTTAATAAAAAAAGAAGAGGGGTAAGAGATTTGGCGGTAAATTTTTTAAAGTGATGTAAAATTAATTACACCATTAAATGTGCGCTAATGACTAAGTAGCGTTGACTAAGATTGGTCAACATCGAGCCATCAACCGTTGGTTGGTCGATCATTGACATGCGCCGGAGCGGCTATCATTGAATCATGTCTATAAATGGCATGTGTTTTCTGCCCAAGTTATCCAAACTCATATATAAAGAATTAACATTAAAATATTAATATTTTAAATATTCTTATGAGCAGCTATTAATAATAAATCAAAATTTTGGTATGGAATTATAATTAATTTACTTTCCTGTAATCCTATGGGTAAATTATTCAGAGTTAATATCATTAGTCCTTAAAATCTTACCTCATTTTAATTTTAGTCCATAAAATTTAAAACCTAATGGCTTCGATGCTTCAAATATTCTTTTAGAGACTACAACCATTGTTTTGGGGACCAAAAATATTAAGGCAGAGTAAAATGAGATCAAATTTTAGAAACCAAAAACCACTGATTTCAAATTTCAGGAACTAAACTAAAATAATATCAAATTTAAAAATATTTTTGCTTCTATTCATATGTCTTACAAAAACAAATTAAGGGCATGTTAGGAAAATACTCCCTCTGATAATATACATTTTGTTGGAGGGCCTTAGTTTTTTTAAAAAATAAGATACATTTCAGTTTTGTCCGATGATTTAATGAGTTTTTTTCCCTTCTAATTTTACCCTTAATATATGCATTTTATTTTTTCTTGCTATTGACTGTGTACACTGCATTATTTATGAGACATGTACACACTCCTCTCATCACCTTTATTCCCATATATTCTCTTTCTTCTTTTTTTTAATTGCCTCTTTTACTCATTTTCTTCATTAATAAGGGCATATTTGGGGGGAAAAAAATACATGCCTTGCATGTTTATGGGAGTTTCCATAAATCATCAGAGCCACTCTTTTTTGAATGTTTCAGAAAGATCTCATTGAGCCAGCAGTTAGAGGAACTCTGAATGTTCTTAGATCATGCGCAAAATCAACATCACTGAAACGGCTCGTTTTGACCTCTTCCATATGTGCAGTGATGTGTAATGGAAAGCCTTTAACATCAGACGTTGTTCTTGATGAATCATGTTTTTCAATTCCAGATGCTTGCAACGAATTTAGGCCGGTACGTATTATTATTACTACATCTAGTTCTAATTATAAGATCCTCTTTATAGTCTACAAATAAAATCTTATAATTAGAATTGAAAGAAATATTATTTATTACTATGTTTAGTTTAACTAATTAATGCCGGTTTCTCTCCGGTCCTTTTTATAAGATGTGCATAGTTGAATTTCATACGTGGATCATTACAAATTTGGTTAAAATTGGTTATTAAAGACAATATGTATTAAAGATGAGATTTATTTTTTAAAAATAACCTTGCTGATTTATGGAAAGACAGATAGTGAGTGTGGATCAATAGTTAAGGGACAAAAATGAAAAAAATGATACTGAAAAGAAAATTTTCGTACAAGCTATTAGTATTTCTTATAAATAGAAGCAATTCATCCCTCAAGAGAATTCTCTTATAAAAATAAATTCTTAATTTTTGGGGCAGTGACAAAAGCCAACGCCAAGTGAAATAAGGCAAGAGAAAGATAAAGGTGGAACCAATAAAGTAATTCTTTTGTGTGGTGATTATTCAACATAGTGAATTTGAGAAAGCGACACTTAAGAGTAAGAGCAATGAGCAATATATGTTATAAAATTATAAACCACAATGTAAGTATATAAATTATAAATATTAAGAATAACATAATTTTTTTTATTTTTAAACTACATTTTACTTCTTATCTTTACTCTTCCAATTTTATTTTTTAAAATTTTATTGTCGTTTGTTTATAGTTGTATCTATATTCTTGTTACTATTTTTACTTTCTTATTTAAAATAGTTAATAAATAATTAAAAGTACATTAATTAAATTATAATTGTGTCGATCACTAAACATCAAACTAGTAAATATTGATTTAAATGGTGCATCTAGTTTTTAATATGTAATGTGATTTTAATTCATAATTTTCTTATAATACCCTTGGACTTTCTTGTTGTTTCATAATTTTTGTTCGCAGGAATGGTCAGCATATATACTTTCCAAGACATTGGCAGAAGGAGCTGCCTGGAAATTTGCAAAAGAAAATAACATCGACATGGCTGCCATCAATCCAGCAGTGGTGATAGGACCTATCTTGCAACCAACACTTAACGCATCGGTAGAAGAAATTTTAATTCTATTTAATGGTAATTTTATAATTTATCCTTAACTCTATTTAATGGTAATTTTAATTTATTATCTAACTTCGGCATACTTTTTTCCATCTGATTATGTTCAACGTACATATAATATTTCAAAAATAGAAAACATGGTCAAATATAATTGGTGAATTTGACATAATAACTATAATAAACTTAAGGATTGTCCTATATATATTTTCTTGTGTTGCTTCTCATAATAAGGAGTCTTTAATGTTCACATAACCTTAACTGCTTGATGTAGGTGCAAAGACATTTCCAAATAAAGTTTATGGGTGGGTCCATGTGAAAGATGTTGCCGATGCCCATATCCAAGCATTTGAAATTCCTTCAGCTAATGGAAGATATTGCTTGGCTGAGTCAGTGAAACACTATTCTGAAGTAGTACAGATTTTGCGTGAACTATACCCAACGTTACAATTTCCAGACAAGTAAGTTCGTTTTCAATAAGAATGCATATATAAGAAGGATAGATAGATGTACGTATACACATACTCATCTTGATTTCTTATTTTCACCAAAATTTTTGTTAAATTAAATATATGTGTCTGTGCGTCACATATCTGCTTTAATGATTATCTGTACTATGTAATAGAATATTGCTCCCTTCATTTTTTTTAGACTAATATCATCTTTAGTTTTTAAAATTTAACATTATTTTAATTTTAATTTCTGAAATTTGAAACGAATAGTTTTGTTCTTTGAGCTTTGATGTCATTTTGATTTTATTCTGTAAAATTTGAAACCAATAGTTTTGGTTTCCAAAATTTGACCTCATTTTGATTCACTTAAAGATTAATTTTTAGTCCTTCTAACAAAGACCAAAACTAAAATGAGGTCAAATTTCACGGATCAAAACCATTGGTCTCATATTTCAATGACCAAAACCAAAATCAAGTCAAATTTCAAAAATCAAAACTACAAATTTTAAATTTCAGGAACCAAAACCAAAATGACATTAAACTTTAAGGAATAAAAATAGTATTCACCTTTTTTTTATGAACATAATTTAACCAAATCATGCGTGTTACGGAAGGTACTTAAAATTAGCTCAAATAAATTAGGGGACTTTTTCTTGAAGGTATGTGGTCATCATGATTTAAAAATTGAGGAAATTTAATAGGATGATATTGTGTGCGATGAGGTCAATTTGTCTTCTTTATGCACATTTCTCCCTTCTTTCCCCTTGTCTTTTCCGATTATATTTTAGAGAAAATGTTCGTGGCTGTTTGAACATTCTAGAGAATTCAGTATTTTGATTATTCTATATAGGAGATTTCATTAAGTTTCTTGATTATGAATTGATCTTAATTCTTCTTCTTCTTCTTCATATCTTTATTTCTTTACCCTCCCATAGAGCATTCGATGTTATTTATCCAATTTAAGTTTTTATTTATGTTGACAATTAATATCTTTTAATTTCTTTTGTTTTTTAAACTTATTAGGTGTGAGGAGGAACAACCCTTTCATCCAACATACCGAATTTCTAAGGATAAGGCGAAGACATTGGGAATTGGTGAGTTCATTCCATTTGAAGTGAGTCTAAGGGAGACGGTGGAAAGTTTCAAAGAAAAGAAAATGGTTGACTTTTAAATCGTGCTCTCTCTCTCTCTCTCTCTCTATATATATATATATATATATAGCCAAGTCATAACATATATCTTTGCGGAATAAATGTTGATTACAATAATCATGATTTTGTATGAAAAAACTTGTGTGTTTTGGTTCAAACCAATTTCCATTACAATAACGTAAATATGTTTTGCTTGAGAAGACCTATTATTATAATATATATCAAGCTTGTATTGAATAAAAATAAACCAAATAGATCCTATAAGTGAAAATGATGAATCCCTTAACAGAAGTAGCATAAATAGAATAAAACTAATAATTAGATTGTATTCATATACATCACATGAAATTTAAAAATGAACATATAAACATAGATAAAAATAATAAAACCAAACAGATCTTTTTATACCTTATACAAAGTAAGCCACGCCATGTGGGATTTGGTCCTCTCAGCATCCTTTTCCTCGGCATCCCAAAATCTTGTCCATCAAAATAATCCAACAGTTTACAGTACACCAGGTCATCAAGCTCTCAAAAATGCATTTTTGCTTTCAATAACCTTCGGTTGCTCTCTCTTCTTCTGACGTCCTAAATATCTTCGGCTGTAGAAAGATAAATGATTCACAATTTAAAGTCTAAAAGGGCCAGCTAACCTGAATGATGAATGAAGCCAAGAAAATACTCAATATAAAAAATAGATAATTAATTTGTAAATATTAAAATAATTAGTTAAATTAGTTATTTATAATTATGTAATATATAAAAGTTGTCTTTTCTAAAATACATTTATTAATCTTGTATATTGGAACTATCTTTTAATGAAAATTTCTTAATTTACTCTATGTAATTACCATAAGAATTACTTGGGAGTAAAATGAATTAAATATTTGAGATAAATTGGATTGTTTCTTATATTTAGAACCAAATATATTAAAGGTCGGGAGTAGTAACTACCAAGCACTTAGATCAACTAGTAAGAGTTGTTCCAGCTTAATCAAGGGTCACAAGTTCAATCATTTGGGAACGCAACAGTGTAGGTGGTAGGATCGCTGCCCATATGACTCCTACCATGGTTTAATCCGCATTATATGGTTTGTAATTCTCTGAGAAGTTGGCCCTAAATATGAAATCTTGATCAATTTGCTTTGTCCTCCAAATATATAATTTCATTTTCTAAAGTATTTACATTGATTCCATATATTAAGGGGTTTTAAGGGCAATCATGATTTAAAAAGATACTATAAGAAAATCAAGTTATATTTGCTAGAAATATTTAATTTGCTTAACTAATTTTTTTAATCTATTCAGATTAATTAAATAGAGATAGTATATATCAATACATTATGTTAATCAAACAGAGCGCCTCTACTTGGGGAGAAACTTTTGTTATGCTTATTGATCTCTCGTCTCTACTTGGAGTTGGAAGCGTGGTGATTTTAATTTTTCTTTCCGTCAAGATTGTTGGACGGAGGTGGAGGAGATTCAATGAAAATTTATTTTTAAGAGCTAGATAGCTAATTTATAAAAATTAAAAAATTATTAGTTGACTTAATTATTGGTAATAAACGTACTTTGATTTCTTTAAAAATAAAATATACTAACTACTTCTCAATTTTATCTAAATTATAAAAACTTCTCCTCTATTTTGAAAACAGATAAAAAATTTCATTAAAATTAAAATACATGTTACACAAATCTCTCTTATATGTTTGGGATTATATTTCCATCCATCCCAATGTTAGTTGACCGTTAAGTTTGACTTTTTAAATTTTTATTTTGACTAAAATGCCCTTCAATAACATAAGAATTATTTAAACATTTATATATGTTTTTATGCCAAACATTTTATATTTTTTAAAAGCTACTTTTTTATACAACCAAAAATAATTTTAATACATTTATTTTCAAACGTTCTAGTATGTTATAAAATTTATTAATTTTTATTATATTATAAAATTTTATAATTTTAATTTTTCATCATATCAATTCAAATTTATTTATTTAGGTTTCTTTTAAATGGCTAAAAATTTTAAATTTATTTTTTAATCATATAATATAAATGATGAAAGTTTTAGAGATTATATAAATAATTTAAATTTAATATTTAAAATTTTTAAACAAAATTTTTTACAAACATTTAAAAACATAGTTACTTAATTATAAATTTATTTAAAGAATTAATCAAATTTGTTAGGTCAACATTAACTAAGCTATTTAAGTTTTTGTGCCAAAAGAAATTAAACAAATAAATACTATTGAAAATAAAAAACTTAAGAAAAAGAAATTTTTTTTAAATATTTTGCAAAATGATTTTAGTTTAAATTAGAGATTTAGTATGATGAAGAGTAAAATAGTAAATAAAATTTTGGACTCGTTTAGGTTGACAATTAGAAGCATATTTTATATAAGTCAAAATAAAATTCTTCTTATATATTTATTTCAACCTTTAACTATATATGACAAAGTAACTTGATATTATTAAAATACTATATATACTCATTTAACTCAAAATTTTAGAAGATTTTGACTATACATGAGAGCCGCAGGGGTGTTCATGGAGCACCAGAGCAAGGCTGCTAACGTTCCGTGGTTTACTGGGCTACCCAATCCGGCGACTGTAACAACGTTAATTGAATGAATGGAGACATTTTCTCGTGTGTACAATTGTAGAATCCTCGTCGCTGGTCAAAGTTGATGATTACAAACGACAAACTAAATGCGTGGGAGATGCTAACAGGGTTGGGTCTAATAAAAATAACTAGTCATTCGTGACCAATCAAGATTCAAATCTCTATTAGAAGAGGTATCTACATTTAGTACCTGACAGTATTTTGAATAGAATTATCTTTAATAAGATGAGATCTATATTTTAGCAAGTGATGTGGATTAAATTTATGAAGTTTTTAAATTTTAACCGTATTAAAATTTTGCTTACTCTATTTACAAATTTTCTTATATTTTTTGTTTCTTTCTCTCTTTTTAATATAAATTAAATAAGAATAAAATTAAAAAAGTATTAAATATATTATAAGTTACTTATATTTAAAATCAAAACTTCTTCCCTTCTCTTAGTAATTTATATTTAGGACCGGCATCATAAAGCAAAACGAAGCGGGGGCTAACTCATATAATTATAATTAAACAGCTTCATATATAATAATTCTTTCATTTCGTCGCCCACTATATTAATCCAAAATGAAGCCGCAAAGCAAGCAAGGGTAATATGGGAATCCTAGGCAACGAGGAATAGGGAAGGTTGGGGCTGCTACTGCTGCTTCCAGCTTTATCGCTTCACGACACGAGTCATGACTCATCAAGTTCCTTTTCTCGAGGCTACTGGGTCAGAGCCAGTGTACGTGATCCAAGTGTTTGGCCGTAATTGTTTTCAACCACCCAAATGCATGAATGTAAATATGTTTCATTAAAATTTAAAAAAATTAAATCTAATTTTATTTTAAAATTTATTAATTTATTTTTATTTAATATACACTAGTTATTCTTCCATTCTTATTTACAAAATAAAAAAAGAGTTTTTTTTATCTTATTTATAAGTTATTTCACTAAATTATAAACATCACTATATTATTTCACACTTCATTTATTATTACACAAATTTTTTTATTTGTTAACTAAGTTAACGAGATTTATAAGGTTTTTTTTTAATTTTAAAAAGACATGTTGAAACTGACTTATAAATAGAATCATAAAAATATACCTTATGAGAATAAAGCTAACATAATAATAATAATAATAATAATAATAAATAAAAAAAATGAAACATACTCCTTCCGTTGTTTTTTATAAAAAATAATTTCTCTCATAGTGGTATCTCTAAATATAAGAAACATCTTTTTTGTCTAAAATTTTAAACTTGTCTTTTTATTTTTACCCCATTAAATATATGCTACTTATTATCTTTCTACAATAAATTTTCACGTATTATCTATCATATACTTTTTTTTACAGATAAAAGTATAATTAAAAATATATATTACACATTTATTGCTTTCAACTAATATTTCAAACTGCTAGATTTGGTAGTTATTTCTTATAGTAAGAAGAGGAGGGAGTAATATTGTACTCCCTCTCATTCTTTTTATAAGAGCCTGAAATTTAAATTACTTTGGTCCTTTTTATAATATCTCATCTATGATTGTCTGAACATTTAATGCGTTTTTATTATTTTTGTTTCTAATTAATTTTACATATTGCATTAATTAAAAGATTGGCAAGTTGCCATATTAAATTTTTTTTTTCATATTTTTTCTCTCTTACTTGTCCCATATAAATAAAGGTATGCTTGAAAAAAAATTATTTCTTATATATTTATTATTTTTAATTAATTTTAATTATTTTTTAAAATCGGGTAATTTAGTTAGCAAGCTCTTTATAAAAAGAACCAGATACTACCTTATAAATAGAAATACATTGAATTTGTACTTATAATAAATGCCACGAAAACAAATTTTGATAAATATATCAATTTTTTTACCAGCGATAAATATATCAATTAATAGGGATTCCCTCCATTTATTGTCATTAACTCATTGATATTCAATACGGTAATAATTACTACTACTTCCGGTCTTAATTATAAGACCTAGTTGACTTATTTGAGGAGATTAAGGAAGTAAGTTAAGTTGATTATTTGTAATAAATAAGTGTTGTCATTCCTAAAATATCTTTACTAATTAAGTATATTGGCTAAAACTATCATTATTAGAAAGATTATCTTGGAAAAAAATGCATAAATAAGAGACAAAATGAACTGGGATCTTATAATTAGGACCAAATAAAAAGTCAAATGGAGTCTTATAATAAGGACCGGAGGTAGTAGTATATAACAACACAGTCTCACGTTATTACTGCGTCAAGTCCAAGAAAAATTTTCTAGTATAAATCTCTCTTTTTCTCGCCAAAACTGTTTCACTCATAGTCAGATACCATCCATTGAACCTCGCCTGCATTGAGAGAGAAAGAGAATGGAAATGGAAAGCAACGCAGGAAAGGGAAAAGTGGTGT